AGTTGCTCGGTATTCCCATTTCCAGCTCCTCCTCGTCCTCCTCTGACCAGCTCAAGTTGTCATCCGACTCCTCCTCCTGTACGGCCCTGGGCTCCCCTGCACTGGCAGCCTTCTCCTGCGCACCGCAGGAGTGTGACCTGCTTTGGGAGAGCTCCAGCCTGGCCCAGGAGACACAGTTGGTTTTGCAAAGTGTGATCTCCACCTTGGTAGGGACCATGCTTACGAAGCTCTTTTCTATTTCGATAACCTAGAGAGAGGGAAAAGTGCAGTGAGCTGGGTGAAGGAGGGCAGGCAGTATATGTTCATCCTTCCCCTTCTGGCGGAGCCCTGCCAGAGAAAAGAGGAGGAATGTCTTCTCCTTATGTGCCAGGAGACAGAGCAGGATGAAACCTGGGCTCCAGCTGAGCTTCATGGTGTTCAGCTTCATCTAAGCAGCAGTGCAGTGCTGGTACAGAGCTCAGGGGAGCTCAGCTAGCCATAGCCACATGCGGGGCTGGAGCACAGCCCTCTCCCCACAGCAGGAACCTGCTGACACACAGGCATACCCGCAGCCGGCAGTACGCTCTGCTGCCCGTGGCAGCACACACCAGAAACAAAGGTGAGAAATGCGTAAGTAAATTCCTGAGTCTCACTGCTCCTCCCCAGCCAGCAAGCAGTGGAGAAATCAAAGAGCCTCTGAAACAGCCCTCGTCATAACCCCAAAGGCATTTCCAAAGAGAGATGGCTATATATGTCAGTACCTGGGTGACCTGGTCCAGGAGCAAGAGCAAGCACAGGCTGGCTTGCAGCATTGCAGCCCAGCCCCATGCAGACTACTGGGAGATCAGAGTAAACAGAATCTTACCCCCCAAAGATTCATTTCTGCCTGGAAAATCTTATTCCCTTCAAAGATGACGTGAACCTCAAGCTGAAAGATCAACAGAAAATTACCTGAGTGGGTAGCACATCACTGCTAGAACTCTTCCCCCAGATAGTGCAGCTGCCTCAAAGCACCGTAACACATCCCATGTCTTGGCTCTGGTGTAATGGTCTGGTGATCCCCGTGGGATCATTTCACCCCCCGGAAGCTTTCACCCCCTTCAGAGCACACGAGGTTCACCTGTGCCACCAGTTGAGGGATTCAAGACCAGCAAAGGCACCCACTGAGGCTGAAAGCTGCTGAGCCAGAGTGGCCAGGCAGATGCTGCTGCAGCAGCGAAGCCAAGGGGCTCTCAGCTTTGTAACAACAGGTTGGCAGTGCCAACCCCAGCTGCAGCAATAGACCAAACAGGCCATCAGAGAGCACCAGGCACGCGGCCGGCTCCTGGCCATTGATCAAAGACAGGTGCCATGAAAGCGCACCCCCAGCCCAGCTCTGCCAGCCCCACTCACCACGGTGCGGTTGGCTTTCACGCTGCTGAGGGCAGGCAGCGGGTTCTTGGCATAGATCGTCACCACCACCTGACTGCTGGTTTGGTGCCAGTCCTGCCGGCATGACACTGCTGCCTTGTCCTGCCACGGAGAGGAACCCATCACGGCACAGCGTCTAGCCCAAACGCACCCCAAACAGAGGGCATGCCTGTACCAGAGGACGCTCTTTTGCAGAGGACTGGCTGAGGTCGGTATCAACCAAATAAGATCAAGCCCTGCCTTTTCTGCCATTTTTTGAGGGGGGGCAGTTAAGAACATGTTAAGACCAGAGACATCCCCTTCTTGTTCCAAGAGCCACTCAGCTGCGCCCAAGCTCATACATGCTGTGTAGAGTCAGAAACCTCAGTCTGGAGGGCAGTGTAGGGACTGTTGCTGGATCACACCACCATGCTAAATTCTGGAGGCAGAGACCCAACTGGTCATGTTTCACCTTTCTCCCACAGGACCACACCTCATCCATGCCACAGGCAGCTTTGACTGCACCAGGCATTTCTGGAGAATCTCTAGGAGACAGGGCCCCAGCAGCCCTCATCATTGCCAGCTGAAGAAATGCTCCAGAAGGAACCCCAGCCCCAAACTCGGGTGTCAATTAGCACAAAGCATGTGCATCACAAGATCACAGTTCATTCACTGCAGCTTCCTTTATATCCACTACATGTTTTCTGCTCCAGGACAACAGTCTGGTGTCAGAGGCAGTTGCTTAGACCAGTGCTGACTTGGAGGAACATGGTGCGCTTTCAGTGATATCCTGGGCCGCTTTGGTGCGACTTTCCCAGCTCAAACCTGTTTACAGCCAAGCGTTTTCCTGGGGAAACTTGCACATACACACACAGTACTGGGAATTCAGATATTCTCCCCATTGCCCTGCCATAACACCATGTTGCTATATAGATGAGATCCCTCCTGAAAAGCAGTTGTAGAGTGAAAGCTTCATTAAAACCAGATTCAGTCATCTGTCAAAACCTGGGGGGGTATTTGCAGGGTTTTTCCCATGCTCAGCAGCCTGTCCCTGTGCAGCAGCCGCCAGCGCTGCCTATGCTGTCCCTGGGGCCAGCTCCTGCCTTGTGCAGCTTCCTATCGCACATCTGCCTGTTGGCTGTGAGAGCTGACACGTTTTGTGAATGCAGGAGCAGCATTTTAAATAGCAGATGGGTGAAGATGAGGCATTCAACACTGCACAGTCGTCTGTGGCAATTATGAAGATTAAGAGAATTAAATGCAGAACCCTGTGTGAATGCAGAGCAAGGGAAGGAGCGTCCCTCAGGTGCCAGCAACCAGACTGTGCTCACAGAGCTCCCCCCTGCCAAGAGCTCTCTTACCCCCTTCCCTGCCCAGCAGTGTCGCCCACGGCTGCAGCCCGGCTGCTCCAGGAAGGTGCTGAAGTCCATGGTTTTGACCCTGCAGCAGCTCCAGTACTTCGCCCTGGGGAGAGCGGGGTGGCCTGAGTGGGGAGCACCCACAGAAGCTGGAGAGGGGACCACAGCAGGCTTTGGGTGAGAGTGGACTGGAGCCAGCAGCTCCTCCTGCCCACCTTGGGGGTGTTACGCACAACTGCACTGGCCACATTGCTGGGGCCACACGCCTTGCAATGTGGCACTTACAGCCCTCAGTAGGGTCCATTTGCTTCCTGGTAAAGAGTTGTTTCTTACCCCTCATGGAAGACAGGAACACCAGGATGGAAAGTACAAACCTCTGTGTTGCTCTCTGGGCCTTGGTAGATCTGTGGAGCAAGAAGCAGACAAAAGTTTTGGCTCTGCCTCGGGCATGATGCAGTGTGACACAGCCAGGCATCTGCCTGTTGGTGCCCATCCCTGCTTAGCGCACAGGATGATGCCCAGCATCACACTTCCACCACGTCCAGGATCTGTGAGAACTTACTCTGGCACTCTGCCTCCCTGGCAGCCTGGCCCTGCTCTCTGCTTCTGCCATCAGGGCAGCCACCCTGACCTCGCCAGCACCCCAGAACCGTCCCTGGCAGCAGCCTTCTGTGTGCCATCTCCCAAACACAGCCTGATCCCAGCCTGGGACTGGGCAACATCAGGACAGTGGGCACGTTTGTACTCCACAGAAACTTGCTGCAAGGTGCGAGGGGCTGTTTGTCCATCCTGTACTTTCCCATCCTTCCCAGAGCACTTCAGTCTCATGTCGTCATCCACCTTCTGCCTTTTGCTCCCTGTTCACTCCCCTCTCTGCTGCTTTCCAAGCTTGCCAGTCCTCCCACAGTTTGGTCCCTCCAGCACACACAATCCCAGAATTCTTAGGGTTGGAAGGGCCCTCCGGAGATCATCCAGTCCAACCCCCCTGCCGAGGCAAGGCCACCTAGAGCAGGTTACACAGGAACTCATCCACGTGCAGGTGGGCTCCTCAAGGCAGGCTACACAACGTGGCCTTTGGGTGAGATACAAACTGGGCTCTGCTGCATTCATTAAATGCAGGTGGGAATTATTCCACACGCATTTTATCTATATGCCCATATCCTGAATATGTGCTACATTTTATTACAAGCAATTAGCAGCAGTGAAATGCAAATGTACCTCCAATTGGGAATCTAGAAGCCTCTGGCAGGAATGTGGCTGGGAAGCGACAGAGTCAGCTGCTCTAGGGATGGGATGAGCAGGAGTATACAGAGCTGATGGGCACTGCCACCTCCCACCAGCGCAGCACCTTGTGGAACTGGGAGATGAGCCCCTAAGCTGGACCTGCAATACTCCTGGTCGTGTGAAGATGGGACCTTCTGGGTACTCACCACCTTGCAGGCTGCGTTCTTGCAGGTGGTGCCAACTCTCACCTGGGCAGTCGTCTCCCCTGTGAAAGCAACACAGCTTCACCCTAGGGCATGCACCCCAAACCCTCCCTGCAGCCCCACCGCCAGCTCCCAGCTTCTCTTGGATAGACCCTGAGCACAGCCCATTGCAACGTGCCTCAAGATACAGCTCTGGGGGTTTGCTGGTGCTGAGCGTGCAGCACCTGCTGGCCTGTGCTGAACCTGCCATGCAAAACCCCACGCTGAACTTGCCACATGCAATCCCACTGCCGTCCATCAGCTCACCACTACTTGCACAACTGCCTTCAGGTGCCTCGTCCTTTGAGGACAGGTTCAGTTTCTCCAGTGCCTGTTCCAGAGACCTGGATACTTTAATGGGCAGCAGTTGTCTTGGCTCATCAGAGCTGGGAAACAGCAGAAGCAAAGGCTGAGTTAGGGTTTGGATTTTTTTGCAGTGTAAGGATCTCTGCCTCTCCAGAGGAAGCAGCAGCACTTCCTCAGGAGCGTGTGCAGAATGCGTGCAGAAGAAGTGGGACAGCAAGGCAACACTGTTAGCTGAGCCCATCTCACCTTGGTCTTTCCCGTTGCATCTTCTCAGCTGATTTTGGTCCTTGGATGATGAGCTCCTCCGTTGCTTCAGCCTTCTGATTGTCTGAGGTCTCCCTTTGGCTGAAAGGCTCAGGAAGCTTCTCCTTGCTGTGGAATCCCTTTGTGCACCCCTGAGCAGCAGAGGCAAGCCCAGTGCCTGTTTTGCCCTCCCTAACCTGGCATCTACTCCCAAACCCTGCAAGTTTCTGTGCTTTTGTGGTTCTCTGTCCTGCAGGGATGGGCTCTGATGCTGCACTGGGGCAGGAGTTGCATCTGCAGGGGGTCCCAGGGACAAGACAGTGTGGCGGTGTTCCCCGGGGAAAAGACAGTGTGGCAGCCTCACCAGGGCCATGGCAGACAGGTCTCAGCTCTGCTGCAGCCCAGCCTGGTTGCTGAAGAGCAGCAAGAATCTCCCCCACGTCCTTGGTCCTCTGCTGCCTCCTTCCCACCTGACCCCAGCACCACTCAGACTTGCACAGCTGTGCTTGTGCTTGGAGCATTTGTGTTCACCCTTGCAGGATCCTGGTAGGGGACCATAGCTCCTTCGGACACCCTTCTCCAGGAGCGCCCGCCCTGCACTGCACTTCGAGAGTAACACCCCTGCAGACTTCATGGAAGCAGATAGGAAATCCCTGGCTGACAGGCAAAGGGATCAGCCTTGGCACAGGATGGGACAGGACAGCACAGGGCAGAGGCAAGGAGGAGAAGACAGAGGAGCAGTGGGTGTATTTGGGCTGGCGGGTCGCTCACCTTGATGGAGAGGAACTCGGAGAAGTCAGTTGTGCGTTTCTTGCAACAAGACCAGCCCTAGGCGCCAGGAGGTGACAGAATGGTCAGGTGTAGGCAACCCCACCGGGCACAAGGCTGCAGCTGCAGCCCTGGCTCCTGCCCCACTCACTTTCAGGGCATCATGGAAGATAGGGACACCTGGGTGATACAAGCAGGAATCTGAAAAGGGAAAATCAGGCAAAACCTTTCAGGAGGAGCAATCCTGCCCATGAGCCACCTGTGACACCCAGCAGCTCTGAGCCAGCTCCTGCCATGCTGGGCTCAGCTCAGCTCAGCTCAGCCCAGCCCAGCCCAGCCCTGCTTGGCAGCTCAGGCCATGGCATGTCAGTCAAGGCTGGTTCTGAGACCAGGAAAACTGCACACATTCCACTCATTCCAGTGCAAAGCAGACAAGCCCACTTACCCTTGGTGTTGTGCTCAGGATCAAACCTCTGCCCACAGCCCTTGTTGTAGCACAGCGATGCCATAGCTCAGGCGTACTTGTGGCTTCCTTCACTCCTTCCCCAAAAATCCGCCAGTCTCATCCCTACCTGTGATCCTCCCCCCCTGCTTTCCCACAGTTTCCAGCCCAGGCACCGGGAGGCGGCTTTGCCTATTTTGGAGGCAGCTGGAGGAGGTGGCTGGTAACCGGAGAACAGGCTAAAGATGGACACAGCAGCTCAGCAGCTGACAGGACCCGGTGCCTACATTATCTCAAGAAGCATTTCTGTCCTGCCCCTGCACCCAGCAGAGAGGATGGGCACTGCAGGCTGGGTAGAGGACCTCCAGCACCCACTGTCCTACCAGCATCTGGCATGGAGGCACTGGCAGCACCCCCGTGCTCACACTCAGCTCAGGGCAACCTGTGACTCCTCTTGACCAGCTGCTCTCAGTTTCTTCAACAGTTATAGAAGCAGTTAAAATTTCCTGAAAAAGAAGGGAAATGACTTCCCAGAGTCACAGGGCAAAACCTTTGCTGACCTCCCCCAGCCCCGAAAGCACCACCATCTGCTTGACAGAGGCAACAGCAGACCAAAGCAGCGTATGTGGCCAAGATGTCCTTTGATGCAGGGTCTTGTGCAACCCAGGGATGAAGATAATTGTCATCACAGAAGAAGAGCACAAAATGTTACATGGGTCCCCTGTACCCAGGAGGCTACCTGCACCCATTCTGGGACCCAGGGGTTTTCCCTTACAAAACTCTTCAGATCAAAGGTTTTATTTAATTCCTGCAAGCATCTGCAACAAATACTCTTTTCTTTTTGTTGTTCCTGTTTGCAGGGACAGCTGGACACCTCCGTTTCCTGAGCACCGCCCTGACCTGCCAGAGCACACAGCATCAGGAGAGCATTTCTGCTCAGGAATTTGGTTTGACATAAGCTCTTGGCACTACCAGACAGGGCAAAGGACAAATCCTGGAGATAGCAGCTGACCAGGGAGTCTCCTGGGGGGGGGAATGCACAGGGCACACTGTGGCTGATGTAACCCCATTCCCATCCCATGATATTGGTTTAACCTAGTTAATCCCCCTACAACAGCCTGCAGGATCTGCTGCCACCCAAGGGGGTAGATCTCCAAAGTCTAGAGTTAGGATGAACCCTTGCCAAGGTTCTGGAGGTCGCCAGGGAGACGACTCCAGACTCATTTTGCAGTGCACTGCTGCTCACCTCCAGCTCAGTTCTGCCATCCCCACCTTGCGATGCCATCGCCAGCAGCAATGTCAGGCTTTTCTCTGTCATCTTGTTAGCAAGGAAGACAGCCTCACAGGAGGGAAGGATATATACCACGACCACCACCAGGCCTCCTCAAACCTGGGTAGCCTGTGTGTAAACCTACATCCACCCAGAAGCTAGGAGGGAAACATGAGGGCACTGGGGAACTGTCATGCTAACATGAATGACATGGTTTCAGGCTACCTCCCTCAAAGGTCTGCAGTGCCTCAATACACAATAAATGACACAGCAATCCCAACGGTGGGTAAAAAACCTGCTGTTGGCATCCACAGCCTCTGTTCAGGCGGGAGGGATCACTTGGGACCCAGGACGCTGAGGGAATTTGCAGTGCTGGGGGCTGAACAGAGCGATAGGGTTTCAGATCAACTTGTCCTTTCCACAGGCTGGCAGCAGGGCTGCAGCTGTCACCATCCCAGTGCCAGCGAGAACCGGGAGCTCGCGGTACCACGCACGCTGGGAGCAAACACCACGAGGATGCTGTGGCTGACTCACACAGCGAGGCTTGTCCTAGCAGGGGGACCAGCAGGTACATGGGGCGCCGCAGCTGAGCAGAGCCCCCTCAGCGTCAGAAGAGCAGCAGCCTGCAGCCCACAGCAGCATTGCTCTGCCCTCACTCTGCTGCTCCACTGCAAGGGTCTGCAGGGAATGAGGCTCAAAAGACAGAACCTACCAGGAGCACAGCACAGTGACAAAGAGTAGATTGGGGTGTCCACAGCTCTCGGCACAGGGGAGGCTCTCCAGGGAGGACAAGGTGATGGGGTGCAGCGTGGGAGACAGATACGAGGCATACACCATGAAACAGAGATGAGCCCCAGGGGAAATCTTTTGGCACTCTGTGCCCGTGCCTCACTACCCTCATGAGGAAGAACTGCTCGTCTCAATCTCCCCTCTGGCAGGTTAAAACCAGCAAGGAATGGGGCAGCAGAGAGTTGAAAATAAAGCCTCTTTGGTTTATGTGCACTTAATGTAATGTGTAACAGAACAAAAAGGAGGTAGAAAAAAAGGACCAAATGATTCTCAAACCCTACTTAATGTGTTTGCCCTTAAATGATCAGGGTCAGTTTAAAACAGTCCCCCAGAGTCCTGGGGAGAACATGCTGGATGCCTCTGCGGAAGGAAACCCCTGCTCACTCCTGGCTCCTCAGGATACCCTGTGGAATCCAGGGCAGTGTGAAGTGAGTGTAGTCCTAAAGCATGGAGTAGTTCCTCCATACAAAAGGCTGGTTAGAGAAGGGAAAATCCCAACATACATACTACTGCCACATGTAGGCAGAATTCATGTTCTAGTTATCTGGGAAATAAAATATTCCCCATAAGAATATATGTGAGCAATTCTTCAGCAGAATTTCTGCTCAACTGCTCTTCTTCCGTCAGCACTGCTCAGTACCAGCAGTTGTCCAAGAGGTCTGCACTGATTGTACTCAGCAGCTCAGAGAACAGCTTGGAAAAAAACCAGAAAAACCATCAGAAATGGGCATGTGGGCAACCTTCATCTCTCCATTCAAGAACATTGCCCTTCTGCAGCTTTAGTTATTACAGAGCTATTGCCCCAACACTCTGATCTCATTGAACAATTACACCTTTTAACTAGAATCAGCTGCCCAGTTGATAGTATTTTCTCCCTGCAGTTCAGGAGTATCTTGCTCCCAGAGAAAATTTCATCTCTTCAGAGCTGAGCTACTAAAGGAGCCCCTTTGCTCTGAAAACACATCAAAAAGCAGACTTTGGTCATCAACAGGAAGAGTCCAAAATGAAGAGTTCAGTCTAATCCTAAGATGCAGTTTTCTTATCATTAGCTGGCATCCCTAATAAAAACCTGCTGCCTGGAACAGTCTGAGCAGGTGGGAAGCATGGGGGGTTTACAGGTTTTGCTTTGGAGGGTCCTGTGGCCTTAAAACACGGTCATTATGAGCTCAGTTAGAGCAGAACGGCCAGGGAAAGTGTCCTAAAGGCAGTGGTGAGCCTGGCTGAGCTCCCTGCTTTCTTCCTCTATTTTTGGCTACCTCTAGCACCCAGGTGACTCACCACGTAGACAGGTACAAGAAACACATCCAAGACAGAAGAGGGAGCAGAACTAAAACTGAGACAGAAGAGGAAACGATGGCTCCTTTCAGCAAGGCCATAGTAAATCACATCTTCCTTCTTTCTGCTCCCAAAGGTAGCTCATTGGTGTAGTCAGTTTAGTGTATTACACCACCTATACCTTTCTGCAGTGACAGCTTCTGGTGAGACATACTGTGCCAGAAAAAAAAGAGAAATATTTGTCTATTGCTTTGATGTTACAAAATTATCCATGTTCCAGTTAAATTTTTCAGATTTATCTTTGATTCTTGCAAACGCACCCACTGTTGTTTAGGGGAAGCTGCATAATGAACAAGTTGTAACTTCTGAAGTCCAAAAATGATGGGGGTTTAAAGCTAAGAGCAAAAAGCCAGCTCACCAGCCCTTAATCTGGTATGAACTGATTCTGCATTAATGTAGTTTAGACAAGCTGATTGGATATGACAGCAAAGAGCAAGGGTTCCCTCTTCATGTTAGTCAAAGTATTTCATCAGTCTACAACTCCACAACAGCCAGCGATCTGGAGCAGCATGCAGAGGGGAGTGTTCACTTCTGTGCAGGGGCTGAAGCTCAGTTCTTCCTGTGAGGGTGCTGAGGCGCTGGCACAGGGTGCCCAGAGGAGCTGTGGCTGTCCCATCCCTGGCAGTGTTCAAGGCCAGGTTGGACACAGGGGCTTGGAGCAACCTGCTCTAGTGGAAGGTGTCCCTGCCCGGGGCAGCTTCACCCTGTATGAAGGGCATACGCAGGGCTTTGCTTCAGTGCAGTTTGACTTAGTACCACTCTATGATTTTATGAATACATGCACCAGTGTCTTCAGTCACATAGG